GGTGGGGGTTAATATTTAGATCAGCGAGTCTATGACTTTCTTGTACTACTAGGGTCACTTGGCCCAAAGCTTTATGATCTTTAGGTATTCAACCCACCAACAATAGTCAAAACATAATAGAACATTATAGAATAATAGAATGGACATGCACATATAAATACTCACACATACTCGCTTACACACACACGCACACACGCACACGCACACGCACACGCACACGCACACGCATACGCACACACACACACACGCGCGCGCGCGCGCGTGCACACGCACACGCACACGCACACACACTCAAACAAATGTACAAAAAACACAGACACAAACAGTTTCAAACACACACGCGCGCGCACAAGAAAGCGCACAAACACATACATACTCACAAACAAACAACTCTATTGAAGAATTGCAAAGTAAGAAAGAAACTATCAATATTATTCTTTAGAGTCCAGTTCAAATTGATTTCCATGGAGAAGCTGTTTTGTTCCATGCCTTGAACTGGACCCTATCTGTATGATCAGATCGTATCTTGTTCTTGCTCTGGCAAGTAGCTACCTCAGAATTACAAAGTTCCATCTGCCATTTTTATCCGCTTTGAGTTACTAAGACCACGAGGTAAGAAACCAAATTATGTTCTGTAATCTCTTCTTTCTCAAAATCGTAGGATTATTCGGAGCCGTTATCAAGATATTAAAAGAATTGCATTCGAAAATCAATTATAAAGATCTATCTGCTCAGTTCCTAGTTTTGAGAAATTTTGCGTCAAAGATTTGGAGTTTCTCATTATGTCAAGCTTTTTCGAATGCAATTCTTTCAATATCTTGATAGCAACTCCGAAGAATCATACGATTTTGATAGAGTACATAGAACATTTGGTTTTTGATTTCGAGGTCTTAGTAATTCAAAACGGCCAGTAACTTTGAAATTCTGAGATAACGAAATGTCAACATATTTAATTTGGGAGAAAGAGGTAAACTTATGCCAATCATAGTAGGCTATTTTCATCTCGATGAAAGGAAATTTGGCAGTCATTAAATGTATCAAATGGTTTCAATTAGTGGGAGGCGTGTTGACAAATTATGAGTTACTTCTCGCAATCCACGAATGGAGATGTTGTTTGAAAACAGACACATTAAATTTGGAGATTTTAAACTGATGCCATTTTTCAAATTGTACCAACCCAACTTTTAGATTTCTAGTATTACATCTGTAAGCTGTCTTTGTACGTAGAGCGGGGATCTGAGAAGGGACCCATTTGGTCATCACACCCCAAAAATAGGGATTTGACAAAACTTTCTGCAATGTATACTGGGTATTATGGGTAACGAAAGGCATGCACAAAGCTGGGGCTTATTACGTCAGGGCTCTGTCAGCCTTTGTTCACTTCGGTCCAGTCTGGGAGATCGAAGGGACGTAACTTGGAATTCAACAACCAGTAGGTGGGGACTGGTTGGTCTTTGCCCTGAAATTGCAACAAAAATGAAGTGAGGGAGTGGGGTGGGATGTATGATTTTTATCTCCCTTTGATAAGTAGCATAATGTTCTCATTCGAAAAACGAAATTCAACGCTTTTGAGAATGTGGCTGTCATTGATAAAGCTGGAATTGGGTCAGGTAATCTTTGAATCAATTTCACCTCCTACCTACCTACTTACCTACCTACCTACCTACTTAGTAACCTAGCTACCTACGTATCTACTTACATATCTACCAGGCCTGCGTACCTACCTACCTACCGACGAGCCTACCTACCTGCTTACATACCTAACTACTCACCTCCTACCATCAACCCCTAAAAATCTCAATTTACTGAAAACAGAAGGAAGAGGCACACACTTTAAACTCACTAAATTTGATAGCTAAACGGCACCATTTGGACTGAAAAGAACATTTAAGCAATTATGAATTACCTTGACAGAAATAAGGCCTCTGTATGAGATATTGAAACCGCCAATAGCCTCCAATTCATTGGCGGTCTCTTTGCTCATGTGGATTCGGAGAGCTGAAATGAAAAAAAAAGACAAAATGAAACAACTGCTGCAAAATAAATGAATAAACAGAAGGGCAATTTAGTTTACAGTGGCAAACATACACACATACATAATATACATACATACACACACACCCCCTCCCCCCTCCACACACACACATATATACATACACACACATACACACACATACACACATACACCCATACACCCATACACCCATACACAGATACACACATACACACATACACACATACATACATACATACATACATACATACATACATACATACATACATACATACATAATGGAGATTAGAGGTGTTTACGACGAAAACAAATGCGTTGTAAATTGAACAACATACACAGAAGTTAAAAGAAATAATAGCCTTCCTCATCCTGCATCAGGGTATAGGCAACTAACACACATTTTCCACCTTTCTCTATCCTGGGCTAACCTCCTGATGTTATTCCATGTCTTCCCACTTTTCTGGACATCAATTTCTGTGATTCTTCTCCAAGTTCCATGCGGTCTTCCCCTTGATCATTTACCCTGAACGTCACTACATGTAGACTTGAAAATTATTTCAAATAAAGAAGAACTGAAAAAAGCAATAAAGAGAAGAAGGGAAGTGGCCGTTTGTAATAATCTATATTATTGCATTAATTTATGAAAGCTCGACACTTTTGTCGCCTTAAACTTCCGAGCAACTTAACATTCGAATTAAAAAAATATAAGGAGTGTTCAGAATAATTTAAAGGGTGCACAGTTATATTTAGCAGTCTGAAGTCACTTTAGTTTAATTTTCAGTTTTTTAGTAGTTTCGTTTAGATCTAATCTTGGGAAAGTCTGTCTTCTAAGATGCCATTGTAAACAAGTGAGGCTTCCGTTCACAAGCACTGCACACTGATTCCACAATGACTTGATGATTGATTTTTTTTCCATACAGTTCTGTTTATCATTTTAAACCAGTTTCAAACTCAGATCTGAAGCTGTGACTTCAAAATGTGACACAACTCGGTGAAATCAAGTGATTGTCAATTTTTGGGCATATGGAGTTACTGAAATAATCTGAAAGCTGTTCATTTGTTTTATTTTTGGAAGAAAAAATATTAATTTATTCTGAATAGCTGTCGACATCAATTGAAAGAGGTTGGGGTAGAGTGGTGTTAAAAATAGAATTAGCAAGGAAATGGCCGCAAACATTTGATGATTTCCAAAGTTTGAGAGTCCATGGAAACTAGAAATTTACATGTTTAGTGCTTTCGACCTTCGTTTTACTTTACACTTACTTAACTTTACTTTATTCTTCCTCAGGCATCGTTGGATGGCGAAGGGAGGCGGCTTGGTTTTTTGTGGTTATATTTGGTTCTACATTGGATCAAATGGTATCAAAAATGGTGAAATGGTATAGATTTAACGCCCCTATTAACACTGTTCGGTTATTTAAGAGGAGGGACCTCCGAGTTAACTAACGTCAATCTCCGAAAGGACCTAGCCAAGTGGGAAATTCGTGTAAAATGGCTTTCCCAAGGACACAACGTCGGACCGAGCTGAGGCTCGAATCCCCGATGCCACAACCTCACAATAACCAGACCGGTAGCCTAACCTTTTGTTTTGTTGTTCATCATTGTCAGGTCGTGTGCAAACAGGAGTTCGTTGAGTGCTTCTGGGTCTGGGTTGGCCTCCCTTTTAGGCCACGAAGAGCAGAGGCTAACGACGCCATTAATCAAATGGTGCGCTATACAGTGAATCGGCCGAATTACGTTTAAGTATCGGACATTATGATACGTCTATGGGTGAGACTGAACGACGTTACTCACGTAGTCCGTTAGACTCCATCCGAGAGGCGATGTTGACTGTGTTGCCGTAGAGACAGAAACGAGGCATCTTCTCACCCACAATGCCGGCCACGACAGGACCTGGGAATACGTTATACATATTTATAAAAAACAATCACTAAATGTGGCACATCTGAAAGTCAGTTAAATTAGATTGCACCGGCAAGAACAGAATAGATAATATAGGTACATGTACAGTTTCTGCTTTTGATGGACACATACACAGATGCGTGGGAAGACAGAGGTAATAGATAGATGGATAGACAGAAAGAGGGATGGATGGATGGATGGATGTATGGCATGGATAGACAAACAAACTGCAGCTCCATTTAACATTCGAAAAAGGACTAAAAACCCAACAACAATAAACACACACCTGCTTTACTTTTACTTTTTTCTTCCGCTTGAACCGGTGAGTGTCGCAGTGAGTGGTTAGCGGGTGCTCCGGTGCGGTGTGGTTTGCTTCTTCTTTCCTATCAAACATCTATCGTCTCTATCTCCCCTTCTTCTTTTTTATGTTTGTTACTCTCTTGTAACACCTCTAATCTTCTGGCACTCATATGACCGTATGCAGTTGCGAGTGCCGTAAAACATCTACTAAAACTAAAACTGAGTGCCGCAGGGAGACACAGGCGTCTGTCTGCAGCACGGCGAGTGGCCTGTAGGAGGGACATCTACTGAGCTCTGAGGGTGATTGCCACAGATTTGCCTCAGCGTCGTCTTGGTCTTCCTCTGGCTCTCCAGCCTGATATCTGTGTATGCCCTCAGAGCTGATTGGTTTGAAGGCATCAATGTGAGGTGTCAGAACCACGTCTTGATCCCCTGTTTTTCAATGTGAGGTAAGATTGGTGTTGCTCTTACCACTATGTCTCTTATGACTTCATTTTTTATATTTTCTCGTCTTGTCTTGTTTACGCTCTTCTCAGACATTTCCATTTCACCGTTGACCAGCTTCCTCTCGAAGGTTTTTCCAAGGGACCATGTCAGGCGCTGATATGTGAGCGTTGATAGAAAAATGGCGTTGATGAGCTTCGCCTTGGTGTTCATGGGGATGTTAGGATATTTCAGAAGATGGGAGAGTTAATAACTGACTTCATGAGCTTTCTGGCATCTAGTCTCTATTTCTCGATCTAGTTTGCCGTTTTCTGTGAAAACTCTGCTCACGTATCTGAATTCACTGGTATGGTGTTTTCCATTGGGATCCATCGATGTTGACATCCAGCTTGTCTGGTCTCATGCGAACTGTCATGACCTCGGTCTTCCTAACATTGATCTTCAAGTCACATTTCTCGCAGCTCGCGTTTAGTTGGTTTTTGTGCCCCAGTAGTTGTGTTTTGTTGTTCATCATTGTCAGGTCGTGTGCAAACATGAGTTCGTTGAGTGCTTCTGGGTGTGGGTTGGCCTCCCTTGTAGGCCACGAAGAGCAGAGGGGATAGATTGCAGCCCTGCCTGACTCCGTAACCTACTGGAAACCACCCAGTCTGATGTTCCACTGCTGGTACAGACAGCACTTCTGCAGTTGACATAGATAGCCTTGATGTTGTCTAGTAGTTGTCCCTTGGTGCCGTACTGCTCAAGGATCTTCCATAGCTTGTTTTTGTTTATTCGGTGAAAGCTTTTTCACAGATCCACAGAATAAATACACTAACACACAAACACAAACAAGCAAGCAAACAAACAAACAAGCAAACAAACAAAAACAATATACCAACAGCACGACGTCATCCCAGAATAACTCACCAGAGTTAAGCCCAATCCTGAGCTTGAGACATTGCGTCGTTTTCGCGCCAGTTTCATCCACCCATGGCGCCCTCACATGCACGCTGGCACTGAGTAAATGGAGGGCCATCAGAGCTATCTGACTCGCGTGCTCCGGGATGGGCTCTGGGATACCCGCAGCTACCATGTAGGCGTCACCTATTGTCTCCACCTGGCGGATAAAAGAAATGTTTGTTTTTGTTGAAAATAATTGTATGTGTTGTGTAGATAGATACTTACTTACTATACTTTATCCGTCCTCTTGTACGACCTCTATGGCGTTGAGGGGAGAAAGAGCTCCCGGTCTCTAACAAGTTTGATGGCCTGGCTGGGTGGGATATTGTATGTTCTCGGGGTATCCTTCACACCCTGGATCCAGGTCTATTTGGTCTTCCTCTTGCCTTGTACCCTGATACTTTTCTATAGTAGGCTTTACTGGCAAGCTGATGAGGTGCCATGCGTGTGAGATGTCCAACCACCTGATTGTTAGCCTTCGAACGTTGTGGAGGACAAGTGTTGTTCCCATCATTTCTCTGATTTTGTTGTTGTGTAGAAAGATTATTTTATTTCAAATTGTGTAGATAAAAAAGAGTTTAGCAGAGTAGATGAAAGCCACACGGTAAGGCTATCGGACTCGTAATCGTGAGATTGCGAGTTCGGGGGAGGGGGGGATGGGTTCGAGCCGCAGGCCCGACGTTGTGTCCTTGGGAAAGGCATTTTACAGGAATTTTCCTAAGTTCACCAAGGTGGGAATGGGTACCCATCAATAGACAGCAACGGTTTTTGTACGAATGCTAGAGTTTTAAAGCCTCAAAAAAGCAGCTTGCACTGTGCTTCCCGAAAAGTTGAGATTGTTTCAGAATGTTTTCAGGTCCGCTGGGGTAATAGCGATTGTAAAGCGCACAGAGCTTGCTGTTGAGCGGGAATTTGCGCTATACAAATGCTATCTATCTATTATTATAATTGAAAAAGTGTAGATGTTCTGTAGATATCTGTGTAGATAAAAGAAAGTTTTTTTGCAGGTAGTTGAGGCTTAGATAAAATATTGGGTTTGAGTAGATAATTGAATGGCAAAAAATAGTTGTTGTATAGGTAAATGACTTTGTGTAGATAATTGTAGATGTTGTGTTGATAACTGCGTAGGTAAATGAAAGATTTTGAGAAAAGGAAAAATCAAAGAAATGTTTGAGTTTGCTTGTTTGTTTGAGTAAACAAACACACATCGACACTGTAATGGTCATTAATTAGCAAGTTCTTTACAGTGAGGCGTTTTAATGGAGCTGAGTACAGATGACTTGTGGTCACTGCTTTGGCCAATGACAACAATGGTTGGCAGAGAAGAGATTGCCACATTTTAAACATTACAATGCAAACCTATTGGGTTTTCTCTTTCAGTATGAACAAACTCCAAAAACAAAAGATGAAACAAACAAGACCAGTGCATCCTCCAACAACCCACGCTTGTTTTGAGCACAAGACACATTCTCGTTCCTTGATAGTAAACCGAGGAGCAAACTACTCACCTTGTAGGGAGACTCTCGTGGGTTTGCAGTTAAGTATTCACCTCTCTTTCAAGGTCCCGGGTTCGAATCCGGGTAGCGATGAAAACATTTTCTTCTCTAAAATTATCTACTTTCACCTCCTTTCCAGCTCTCTAGCAATGTTCTGTCGTCTGATTTCGTCTCCATTTTCTGCCCCATCCCCTCCCCTCCTTTGCCCCCTCCATTGGGCTGCTGATGCTTTCTGCAGCCTTTCCACTGCCACTCCTCTTCTCCTAACTACTGTCTTTCAGCCACACCCCTTTTCTTCTGGAAGGACAGATCTACACCCAACCTTCTTGGACAAGGGAAAAAATGATCTCGGAGGTCCCGTGTGAAAGTTGCGCACGTCAAAGATCCCTTGGTGGTCTAAAATCGATAAGAGTAGGCTTTAGCCGCCACCTGGGTAAAATTCAAAATTTCCAACCAACTAAAAAGGTTTAATGTGTTCCGCGCGCTCATATGACCTTATGCAGTTGCAATCGCCGTAAAACACGCCCCCCCCCCTCCCCCGAGAAAAAAGCCCCTCAAAAACCCAAAAACACTCACCTTGTAGACGTTGTAACTGTTGAGTATGACGTCAAACCGAGTGTACAGGTCATTGAGGAAATCCAGAACCTGTAAGGGAAGTAACCCGAAAAAAAGAAAAAAAGATTGGCATTGTAACGGGATCGTTTTTTTTCCTTCATGTTTTTTAAATTCTTTTTCTTATGGTTTCCCTGCAGTTGACTTTTTGAGCAACGCAGACTGTCTTCGTTTATTTATTGCCATTTCCTGAAGTTGATAGGGCTGATACTTATGTTGCTGTTGTTGCTGTTGTTGTTGCTGTTGTTGTTGCTGCTGCTGCTGCTGTTGATGTTGAATGGCGCCTTATTTTAACACACAAACACGCACATACACACAGACATGCACACACACACGCATACTCTCTCTCTCTCTCTCTCACACACACACACACACACACACACACACACACACACACACACACACACACACACACACACACACACCCACACACACACAGATAAAAGAGAGAGAGAGTGAGAGAGCGAGAGAGAGAGAGAGAGAGAGAGAGAGAGAGAGAGAGAGAGAGAGAGAGAGAGAGAGAGAGAGAGAGAGAGAGAGAGAGAACGGTTACCTCCTGAGGCGAGCACTGGCCGCAAATGCTGGTGAAGCCCACTATATCGCTGAAGAAAATGGTGACGTCAGAGAACGACTCCGCCTCCACACGGCCTCCAGAGACAAGCGAGCCCACGAATTTTCTGTAGGAAATAGGTTAATAAAACAGTACTGATGGGCGCAGAATCTATCCAGAGACGTCACCGACGGAGATAGACCAATCAAAATGCTTTGTGCCTTTAGACAAAGTAAAATAATCCGGGGGTTTATCCCATAATATGTTATTTTGCAGTTAAGTTTGGATTTTTTCTTGAAAACAATTGATTTGCGACAGTTTTAGTGGCTATAATGTGTGATCTGCAGCAAATAATACGTAGTTTGACCTCCCAAGGCAGTGCATCTGTGTGCGGGAGTACGTCTCCGAATAGTAAGGAATGTAGTGGATATCTTTTTTGCCAGTGTCAAATTGTATTAAACACAGAGTAACTTTGTTCTATGCAATAATTTTTTTAGCAGCTGGAAACAGTCTTTTAAAAATTAAAAATACTGAGGTCAATTTTTGGTTCAGTTGATATACTTTCAGCAAAGGATGTAAATTTGTGAGGCAGCGTTGTGGAATCAGGCTCTCGTCAATTTTTGGGCATGTGGGGGTATTGGTATCATCTTAAAGCGTATTCACTTGTCTTTATTTAGATTTAGATGAAAAAAATATCAATTTATCTTGATTACAAGTCGAGATATTTGTGTTGTTTTAATTTTTTGGTAGACAAACGGCATTGTATATTGGAGGTGGGGGTCTCCTGTTTTCAGAGGTAAAAGTAGAGAGAAAATGGCTGTCAAAGATTATTTATCTCCTTAGCTTAAAAGTCCGTGGTAACTGAAAATTTACATTTTTGTGTGCCTTTAATCGACATTTTTAAGAAACATTTCTACAGAAATGTGTTCTTTAAAGGGCAAGAAAGGTGTTGAACCAAAATACTAAAATTTGATAAAAATTCACAAACCTGCGGAAAAATGCAAGTTTCTTCACTTTGATTATTTTGACGAGAGCCTGATTCCACCACGCTGCCTCACTAATTTATATTTTTTGTCAGTGCCAAGCTGTAGTATACAATAATTAACTTCATTCTGTTGCATAAATTTCTTCATATTACCTGGAAATAATCCTTTTAAGTTCAAATCACTATAGTCAGTTTTTGGGTCAGTCGTTACACTTTCAGTAAAGAATGTAATGTATGTAATAAATTATTTTTGTCAGTGCCAAGTTGTAGTAAACAAAAATAAGCTTCATTCTAGAGCATTACTCTCTTTATATTATCGAAAAACTGTCCTTTTAAGTTCAAATGACTAAGTTTAATATCTTAGGTCCGTTGTTACACTTTCTGTAAGGGTAGTAATGTATATTTTTTTCTCAGTGCCAAGCTGTAGTAAACAGTAATTAGCTTCATTCTAGAGCTTAACTTTCTTCATATAACATGGAAACAGTTCTTTAACGTCCAAATCACTAAAACCAACTTTTGGGTCTGTCGTTACACTTTTTTAAAGGTATGTAGTGTATATTTTTTGTCACTGTCAAATTGTAGTTAATACAAAGTAACTTTGTTCTATAGAATAATTTTAGTTGTAGCAGCTGGATATAGTTAAAAAAAAAAAAATCCAAATTACTCAGGTCAATTTTTTTGTCGGTTGATACACTTTGAGCCTAGGATGTATTATATATTTTTTAGTCAGTGCCAAGCTGTAGTGAACAACAAGTAACTTCATTCTAGAGCATAACTTTCTTCATATTACCTGGAAACAGTTATACGATGTCCAAATCACTATGTGCAATTTTTGCGTCGGGCGTTACACTTTCTGTAAGGGATGTATTGTACATATATCTTTTTGCCAGTGTCAAATTGTAGTAAACAACAAATAACTTCATTCTACAGCTTAACCTTCTTCATATTACCTGGAAACAATCCTTTTAAATCCAAATAACTTAAGTCATTTTTGGGGTATGTTTTTACACTTTCAGCAAAGGATGTAACGTATAAATTTTAATGTTTGTCAGTGTCAAGCTGTAGTAAACAATAATTAGCTTCATTCTAGAACTTAACTTTCTTCATATTACATGGAAACAGTCCTTTTAAATAACCCCCCCCCAAAAAACAAAAAAAACAAAACAACAACAAATAATTTGTTCTAGAGCTTTCTTTTCGTCTTAGCAGCAAGAACCAGTCTTTGTAACATTCAAATCACTTAGGTCAATTTTTAAGTAGGCCGTTTCACTTTCAGTAATGGATAAAATGTAACAGTTTTCGTCAGTGTCAAGCTGTTATAAACAACAGATGACTAAATTCTACTGTGGACATGTCTTGTTAGTAGCTGGAAACAGTCTTTTTAAATCCAAATCACTTAGGTATATCTGTGTCGGTTGTTACACTTTCAGCAAGATATGTAATGTATTTTTTTCCTCTGTGGCAAGCTGTAGTAAACAACAAATAACTTTATTCTAGAATCTAACTTTCATTATAGTAGCTGGAAACAGTTCTCTTGTTCAATTTTTGAGTCGGTCGTTACACTTTCAATAATGGATGTAATCTGTATTTTTTCATCAGTGACAAGGTATAGTAAACAATAAACAACTTTATTTTATGTCTCAATTTTTGTCTTCTCAGTTGTAAGCAGTCTTTTCAAATTCAAATCTCGTTGGTCAATTGTTGGGTCGGTCGTTACACTTTTTGTAATGGATAAAATGTACAGCTTTTTGCCAATGTCATGTTGCGGTAAACAACACATTACTTTATTCGAGAACTTATCTCTCACATTTGCAGTCTTTGTAAAATCCAAACCATTTAGGTCAATTTTTGGGTCGGTCCTTACACTTTCAGTAATGAATTTTATGTATATTTTTTAGTCAGTGCCAAGCTGGGGTAAACAACAAAATACTTTATTCTACAGTTAAGCTTTCTTTGTCGTATCTGGAAACAGTCTTTATATGGTCAATTTTTGGGTTGGTCGTTACACTTTCAGTAATGGATGTAACGTATATTTATTCGTCATTGCCAAGCTGCAGTAAACAACAAATAACCTTGTTCTAGAATAATCTAGAACTTACTTATTGCCTTAACAGTAGGACAGTCTTTTTAAAAATCAAAATCACAAGGTCAAGGGGACAAGAAATGACTTTATTCTCGAGTTTAACTTTGTTTATGGAAGCTGGAAACAGTCTGTTTAAATCTAAATCACAAGGTCAATTTTAGAGTAGGTTGTTACACTTTCAGTAATGGATGTGATGTATATTCTGTGTCAGTGCCAAGCTGTGGTAAACAACACATAACTTTGTTCCAGATCTTTATTTTGGTCTCAGAAGTTGTAAAACATTCTTTTTTTTCATCCAAATAACTTATATGTCTATTTTTGGGTAGATTGTTACACTTTCGGTAATGGATGCAATCTGTAATTTTTCGTCAGTGCCAAGGTTTAGTTAACAACAAATAACTCTGTTTAAGATCTCAGTTTCTGACTCCTCTTCTGAGAGCAGTCTTTTAAAATCCAACTGACTTTGGTCAATTTTTGGGTAATTCTTTACACTTTCAGTAATAGGTGTAATGTTATATATCTTTTTCTTTATTCTAGAGGTCAACTTTCTTCTTCATATTCTAGAGCTCGTGGGAGCGGGGTGGGGGCTCATATTTTTCAGGTAAATGGAAGGGGGGGGGGGGCAATCTGGCCATGTCAATGAGGGTAAGAAGCCCTCCCCCCCTCCCTTTTCCCCAATGTCTGACACGTGTGACGTCGATGGTGCGAGCTCTAGTATTATTTATAACCTCTTTAGAAAAGACCCCCCCCCCCCCCAACTTACTGCGGAATGACTTCACAGAGGACCCGAAAGTACTTGGCCTTCTCCTCCTCTAGACAGCGCGTCCTCTCGTTGACAGTTTCCTCCAGCTGCTCGCTGTACCGGCTCATGATCTGCTCTATCTTGTCGGACAGGGATCTGTGTGCATTTAATAATAATGATAATAATAATAATAATAATAATAATAATAATGATAATAATAATAATAATAATAATAATAATAATAATAATAATAATAATAATAATGATATAATAATAATAATAATAATAATAATAATAATAATAATAATAATCACAATAATAATCACAACAACAATAATAATAATATATAATAATAATAAAAACATTAACAATAATAATATCAATACTTAAAAGAAAATAATGCTAAGAATAATAATAAGAAGAATAAGAACAAGAAGAGATAGCATTTGTATAGTACAAATCCCCGCTCATCAGCAAGCTCTATGCGCTTCACAATCTATACTACACATAGCGTCGATTAAAACCAGACACATTTCAATTGCGTGTTTCATGTAAAGTTGAAAACCCATTGAGCTGAAATTTTCCACACGTGATTGTGAACACAATTGATGCTCCTGATCAGCCTGCATTTATGATCAGGTGCCCAGTTAATAAAGCTCAGGTCTTATTTTGTTAAAAACCATGTTTTGTCATTTTCTCGAACGTTTTTGGTTTTTTAACGTTTTATTCTTTTATCTGTAGCCAAGAATAAAACGTTAAAAGTTTCATTTCAAAACATCTAAATCTAAAGATACAGCATGCCGCGTTTAACTAACGAAGAGCGCAATTAGGCAGTTGGTATGCTGAGGGCCAATACGCCAGTAGCAAATGTTGCAAGGACCTTCAATGTGACAAGAGACACGATATATCGACTAATGAATCGTTTGCAGACGTCTGGATCCGTGCAGGATGGTCCCCGGACGGGTCGTCCTAGAGCTACAACACCAGCCCATGACCGGTACATTCGGGTCTTGCACCTACGAGATCGCTTCCGGCCTGCTACCAAGACAGCCAGGGAGTGGAAGGGACGGAGAACCATAAGTGCGCCGACGCCTTAGACCTCAGCCGGTCACCTCAGATCAGCTACGTACAGCACTTACAAACATATGGAACAACATTCCACAGCATCTCATCAAAGACTTGTGTGCGAAGCATGCGGCAGAGGTGCACAGAAGTAGCCAATGCCCACGGCGGCTATACGCAGTATTAACTGTGACTTTTCATTTTAGCGCCTACAATTAAAAGATCAAATTTCAGGAAATAAAGTTCATTTGTTAAAATTGTTTTTTTGTGTAATTGATTTGTAAAATGTTCAAACTTTCCTTATAGAGAGATTTAAAAAAAATAAAATCAGTCTTTCAATACAAAAAAACACTAAAAAGGGGGTGTATGGTTTTTTTTAACGCCAAGTATATTACCCCAGCAGACCCGAGAGCATTCTGAAACAGCCTCTACTTCCTGGGAAGCATACAGTGCAAACAGCCATCTATAGGCGCTAAAACACTAGCATAGCCTCACGACTACGAGTCCGGTAGTTTTTTAAAGTTTTAGTAAGAGTTTTACGGCACTTGCGACTCAACAAGGTCATTATAAGTGCCCGAACATTAGAGGTGTTACAAGAGAGTGACAAACACAAAAAAGAAGAAGGGGAGAGAAGGAAGATAGATGTTTGATAGGAAAAAAAGAAGTAAACCACACCAGAGCACCCGTTAACCGCCCACATACCATAGTTCACAGAAAACCCAACATAGTTTATAGACAAATATACCATAATTTGTCTACCTATGATATACCACATTTGGTCTACAGAGAACACAATATACAATGCCGTTTGTCTACCAAAAAATAAAAACAACAACACCCCCTCTCCCTTACCCCCCCCCCCCCCCCAAACAAACAAACAAACAACAAAATAACAAACAAAAACCAACAACACCGAACAAACCCCCAAAACACGATTCTATGGTAATGGTATAGATTGTAAAGCGCAAAGAGTTTGATCTTTGGCAGCACTTTGCACTATACACAGGGTATTAATTAATTATCATTATACTGTGTTTCTGGGTTCGTTGATATATTTATTTTGTTGTAACGGCTGTTTATCCACATTGTCCAAAAACATGGCTTACCTGCCAGAAGTGATTCCTCGCAGTTTCTTCAGTATGACGTCAGCAGTCGGACGTGCTTCGGGTGTCTCCGCCCAGCACAGCTGCATGAGCTCCACCATCTTAGACTCGGTCTCTTCTTCACTTTTCATCTCGTCTTTCTGACTTCCGGCCACGCCCATCATTTGACTTCCGTTCTGGCTCGGCTCACGAGTACCTCCTCCATCAATCCATCTCCGGAAACTTCCTTCTCCCGACTTCCTGCGACCGAAAGAAATCACGTCCCTGCTCGCTTTCCGTGTTGTAAAGAGTGCGAGATTCTTCAGCCTGTGCGGAATTTCTGGGCGAAGGACTTTGGAATGATTCTCCGAACACATCGTTTCGTTGGGCTGGTGGTGGTCGTGTTTGCAATGCTGGTCGCCGCTTTGTGTTCTCAGAGGCGGCGTACAAGAACCGCAGTGGTGGAACCTGAGACTGCTGCGAGCGTGAAGGTGGCTCAAAGGGTGAGAGCCGTGTTTGTTATCGCTGTCATAAAGCTGTTGGTGCTGTTGCTGCTGTTGTGGGCTTGGGCTGATGGACGCCGTGTGGCAGCCGAAGGATCGTCTGTTTTTGTACACGGCGCGATCAGGCACGGCGGATAGAGCAGACCCCGCGACAGGAGCGGCGGCACTGGAAGACCGAGGGCGGGGAGAGGATGGTCCCGTGTTGCAAGGACGGAACGTCACGGCTGGGCTGCCTGCTGGGTGTGGACACGATTGGATGGAGATGAGATGAGATGAGATGAGATGAGATGAGATGAGATGAGACGAGACGAGATGAGATGAGATGAGATGAGATTAGACGAGACGAGACGATGACTTGGTAGGAAATCAAAAGAAACGAATATATTATACGATTGTATGAAGAAAAGATGAGATGAGATGAGACGAGATGAGACGAGACGAGACGATGAGTAGGTAGGAAATCAAAAGAAACGAATATATATCAAATAAATTCTATGAGAAGAGACTAGAAGGGATGAAATGAGACTGTAACTTGGAAGGAAATTAAAAGCGACACATCAATACGATATCGTACACAATGATATGAAATAGAATGAAAGAAAATGACAATTTTGTGATAACCCAGTAACTTGGGTGGAAATTCAAAGGGACGCTTATTTTTAAAAAGTGTTTTACGGCGGCGTTCGCAACTGCATAGGGTCATATGAGCGCCGGGACACATTTAATATTTTCAGTTGGGAGGACATTTAGTATTTTGCCTGGATGGCGACCAAAGCCTACTCTTATCGATTTTCGAAGATCCAAAAATCTTTGACGCTTAACTTTCGCAATTTGCACACGAGACTTCCTTGTTTTTTCGCCCTTGTCCGAGAAGAATAGGTGTAGATCTTTCTTGTAGATCAGAGGTGTGGCTGAAAGACATCTGCAGTAAGAAGGAGCCAGGGAGTAGCGGTAGAAAGGCTGCAGAAAGAGTCAGGAGCCCAGAGGAGTGGGCAAAGGAGGTGAGTGCGGGCGCAGAAAGTGGAGGCGGAAGCAGAGGACAAAACATTCCACGAGAGCAGGAAAGGAGGTAAAAGGAGACAATTTTAGAGAAGAAAAATCTCCGTCGCGATTGGAAATTGAACAAGGGATCTTTTGAAAGAGAGGCAAATACCTTAACCTCTAAGGCCATGAGAACACCCATGTTTTTGTTTAATACGCTACACAATAACTTTACATGAAAAGAGATGGGATGAGATGATAAATAATGGTATGAAATGAGATGAGATGAGATTGGACGATGATGCACAATGACACAAACATTAATAAATAAATGAGGTAAGATGTGATATGAGAAGATGGAATGATATTTGATTTGTAAAACAATATAGTAGTATTTTTGCTAGGATCAGATATTAGCAGAAAGAGTCCTACCAGACAGCCAATACAGTTTCAGATCAAATCGCCGAACAACGGACATGCCCTTTTCTTTCTGCATATACGAAAAGAGCCAAACATACAGTAGTATTTTAAATTGAAAGATCACATAATCACACGATAAGATACAAAGGAGAAGATATTATGAAATGCTAAAAGCAGAACAGCTGAAATGGGTTGAGAGGTGCTGTTGATCGGGGCTATTACAGTCAGGCAGAAACTAACATAGCAATTATTTAATAAGATGAAATGAGATGACATCTTTCGAAAATAAAACGGCACAACAGATTTAAAGCAAAATTAAAGCAAGCAAAAAAATATTAATGGAGAAATAAACAGACACTGAGGAAAACTAAATTATTACTTGTACTAGAAAGAGTAGAAAATTGGGAACATTACTGCTACAATATTATGACCTTCTTCCCATGCAGGAATGCTTTTCAGTCCACCTTGCAAACTGTCGTGTCCGGGTGAGGAGCAAAGCTCAGTCGTCATCTGGTCGCCACGGCGAGGGTTCGCTTCTTGCCCGGATATTATTTGTACGTAGTTACTGAAGGGTTCTCCAGTTGTCTTTCCACCTCGTCCGGAGTCGTTCTTGCTTTCTGACGTCACATGATCTGCGATTGATACGTTAATTTCAGGCATGACAAGTCCTGTTGGGCCAATAGACGTTCTGTGTCGGGGAGTGCAATGAGCACTTGTCTCACCCCTGGCGTGGTCAGAACGTGAGCGGTGCAGCTGAGGCATAGATTTCCGACCGGATCCTCTCTCGATTTCATCTGAAAGCGTTTCTGGGTTGCCCGTATTTTGATCAAGTTGCTGTTGTGACTGTATTAGTTGCTGTTGGTCTAATTGTTGATGAAGATAAAGTGGTTGCTGTTGTTGTTCATGATGTTGAAACGGTTGTTCTTGCTGTTGTTGTTGTTGTTTCAGTTGATGGTGATGCTGCAATTGCTTCTGCAATCCATTCAAGGTAGGCACGAAGTGTTGACCTTTCGCAGAGTTATCAATTGCTATCGTGCTTGGGTTCACTTGAGAATTCCGTTGGTTTAACCTCTGACATTTTTGAGTTGATTTATTAGTATCAGAGTTCTTGTTTTCTCTGTGGTAAGTAGCTCCTGATATTGTAATGCTGGGGGTCTCTGAAGATTCTTTTAGAAACTCCGAAGTCGTAACGGCCGGCGAGGCAGGAGGAAGACCATGGCTGAAAACCACAAAAAGCACACAGATATGTTTGACTTTTGACGAGTGCAACGGGTTACAGGTGAAATAAGAAAATGATCAGTACACATAGACCTACTCGCTGTTATACATAATAATTGTTCTCTTATAAATCCATTTTCATGTTAAAATATCGTTGTACCTCTTCACTCACATTTTGCAGTCTTTGGTGTAGGAATTTTAAGTTCTTATCGACTTAAAATTTACAGTATTTAGGAATGTAAGCCTTGATCCTTCCCCCCAGAAACGCTCTAATACGAATAAGATCATTAACCTGGTACCCGAGAAAGTGAGACGGAACACACTAATGATAATAAACAATTCTTTAAAATGAAATTGCCATAATCATTTTACATCTACACACATTTGATTACCCAAGCCTTACGGTTCAGATAATAATTTAGTAGTTTCTATTGTTGTTCTTGTCATCGTCGTCGTCGTCGTCGTCGTCGTCGTCGTCGTCGTCGTCGTTGTTGTTGTTGTTGTTGTTGTTGTTGTTGTTGTTGTTGTTGTTGTTGTTGTTGTGGTTGTTTTGGTTGTTGTTGTTGTTGTTGTTGTTGTTGTTGTTGTTGTTGTTGTTTGTGTTGTAATTTTTTTTTGGGAGGGGGGGGGGGGTAGTTTGGCTCTGACTGCCGTCTACCGTGACCATATTGTTAGTGCTCCGGGGTCTGCAGCGAAGCGATTGGGCGCTTCGTCATCGCACGCAGAAGACCCAAGTTCGATTCCTGATTCTCGTGTAGGGACAGGATAAACTTAATAGCGTTCATCTATCTTTTTGCTGGGACGTTGTGGGCCTCTCATCCCGGGTTGACTTTAACGGGGGGAAGGATCAAGGCTTACATTCCTAAATACTGTAAATTTTAAGTCGATAAGAACTTAAAATTCCTACACCAAAGAGATTATGTTGAAGTTATCAAAACAGAAAGATAGAAATATCAATTTGAAAGAATAAAAGCTTCTCCTCTTCACGTGGAAAGACAGTTCGCATACTCTGCTAGCAACAAAAACATCACACATTACAGATGAAATCTCCTTTTCTAATTAATTGTGTATTTGGTGCTTTATCATGGAAATGTTTCTTTTTCAGCATTTACTGAAGGGATTAGAAATATTTCATTAAAAAAAAATAGCTTAGCAAGAATACAGGCTGAAAGAACTTAATTTGATTCTTACAATTCCATGATCGAATGCTAGGCAGCAATCTTAACTCTGAATCACAAAATTTGAATGCTTTTTGTATAACTCCTTCATATACCATTTTGAAAAGTGACGCAATAATGACGGGTCGTACCCAAGGAGCTTAGAACTGATGGAGCCTCCTCTCTCTCTTCGCGGCGCCGCGAGCAGTACGCCGCGAGCAGTACGCCGCGTTGGGGATCAAATATGGCCACCGAGTGTGGGCTAAATCACGAACTGTGGCGTTTCTTTTTATAGAATTTTATCGGGCTGGGCCACGTTGTGGGGGTGGGCGGGGTGGGGGAATGCACGCAAGGAAGAGGGGATGGGGCTGGGATGAAAGAGGAGGGGCGGCCTTGGGAAGGGACGGAGGAGAATGGGAAAAATTAAATAAGAGAGAGAGAGAGAGAGAGAGAGAGAGAGAGAGAGAGAGAGAGAGAGAGAGAGAGTGAGACAGACAGACAGACAGACAGACAGACAGACAGACAGACAGACAGACAGACAGACAGACAGACAGACAGACAGACAGACAGACAGACAGAGAGAGGGAGGGAGAGGGAGAGAGAGAGAGACTCTTGTGTAGTAAAATTTGTTGTTGCTTTGTTTGGTTTATTTTTTAACAGCAGAATCTTAAGTGAACCGGAATTATTGATTGTGGGATCTTAGGTGAAGACTACAACAATAAAATTAAACCGAGTATAGTTCTATCTAACAAGACTCAAACTCTTATCCACCCCACCCTACCTTCTCCCCTCATCTGATATGGTTTGGTGTTTCTTTAACATAGAAAATATTCATCATTATTGTTGTTGAATATTGATTTCATGTTCTAATGGAGCCTCTAGATATCAACGTTTAGACTACAGTAGCATCAAATTTGCACACACAAAGGAAAGCAATATCTTTAATTAAAATGTATAATATGTATATACATACACACACATAATAATTATAATATATTTACTCATAATAATTATATATATTTATGAATAAGAATACTTTTAAGAAATTGAGTATCCCAGTCTTTCTGCTGGGGTCTTGTATCCCTTTCAGCCTGGGTTGGCCTTGGCATGTAGCGCCGGGTCCAGCCTCTTATGAATTAATGATTTAAATTGTGTTGCTGGGGGCATAGAAACACTTTCATTCAAATTTTTTAAAAGGGAAACAACTTAACTTTGAAAAATTCGGTCCACTGCAGCATCATATCGGTTCTTACACTTAAATACAACACAGGTGCAAGGCATTTTTACTAATTAACTTGCCTAATCTGAAGGACCTCGGAATAAAACCTTCTTTCTTATCTAGATTTCAGTGCCTTAATCGGGCAATCGCGCAGGGCAGGTAGACCACGGTTCCGCCGCGGCGCTTTTCCCTTTCGTCAACCCGCAGCCACCTCCCGAATCGTCAGCCACCCCCAACCTTTGACACGGGTCAAACTTCCATCTATTTATAGGTAGTTAAATCTACCGGAACATGTGTTAGGCAAAGTGATGTGCAATGATAGTCGCAATAGAGAGATTGTTTTGGTCTCTCTTTACTCATCTGCACCACACGAATTTAATTGATGTTTTCCCTGGACTCTGCTTTTACTAAAGTCTCGAATCTAGATCTAGTTGTAATCTAATTGCAGGTTGCAGATATAATAAATTGCCGACAGAGAGAGAGAGAGAGAGAGAGAGAGAGAGAGAGAGAGAGAGAGAGAGAGAGAGAGAGAGAGAGAGAGAGAGAGAGGGGGGGGGGGAGAGGGAGAGAGAGAGAAGGGGGAGGAGTAGATCTTGCGAGAACTTTCGGGCAAAACAAAATGGCGACCCGCGTAGTTCGGTCGATTCGAAAAGTGAAAGAGCCATAGCATCTTTGTAGACGATCAAATTAGCTTACGTTTGTGCTATAACGTCATTTTTTTCTTTGCTTTTGTCAATTTGATCATCCACACCGATAGAAAGCATTTCAAAATTAGGAAAAACAGGTCTTGTTTCACACTGGGTGAGAATAGCTAACGCTGGCAAGTCTCACCCGGGGTGAGAGGTCAATCGTAGGGTTTTTATTCTCACCCCGGGTGAGGATAGCCACTTCCTTACTTTAATGATTAGGTGATTAAACTTGATCTCTTATTGACAATATAAAAGTCCATTTAAGCTTCATTTCGTTAGAAAACAATGTGTTAGGTTTGCTAACTTCATAGACTTTGTGTTAAACAACACTTTTAACAAAACGAATGCTTACAAGCCTAGGCTTGGCCTTTGTAATCTCGAAGGTTTAGAAGTAGAAGTAGAAGAGTCTACTGCTAGAGTCTAGTCCAATTTATTTAATCTCTTGAATGTACTGGATAACAACAGAAATCTGCAACCTGCCACTAGATTACAACTCTAGATCTAGATCTAGATTCGAGATTTTAGTAAAGGCAGAGTCCAGGGAAAACTTCAAGAAATTCTCGTGGTGATGAGTAAAGAGAGACCAAAACAATCTCAATAAATAATATATCGCGACAATCACGGCACATCACTTCACCTATACATGTTCCGGTAACTACCTATGAATAGATGGAAGTTTGACCCGTGTCAAAGGTTGGGGGTGGCTGACGATTCGGGAGGTGGCTGCGGGTTGACGAAAGGGAAAAGCGCATCGCCTACGCCCATAAACGTTCACGAGTGTAAAGGAGAACGACGAACCGTACCATTCGTCGTTTTCGCTTACATCGCAAGGCTGCGGGTTCGCAATGTAAGGGAGAACGACGAATGTCGAATAACTTTGATACTTTTTAACCTAAACCATTCAAACTTTAGAAACTGTTTTATGAGCACCTCAATCAGATATCTGGTGAATTACAGCTTAAAAGATAGAAAAATAGAAGAGTTATAAAGTGAAAACTGTTTTTGCCTCTCCTGAAAAATTTGCCTCGCTACCTGCGCAGGGCCATTCGTCGTTTTCCCTTACGACGGCAGTATAGGTTTCCAGCATACTAAAAATATGCCTGCCTTAGCCTAAAAACACGCGTTGATCTAGATATCAGCTTACAACATAAGCAGTTTAATTTAAGATAGCCTAAAAAAGGTTAATACATTTTTACTTATTTTACTAATTAGTTACATAGCCCTGCATGGGGTCTGTGGGTAGGGAAGAGTTGGAGAGGAAAGAAAGAGAGCGTGCAATAGCATATAGATCTATGTATACCTATAGGCAATGGTGAGAAAAGGCAACAGACTGTAGAAATAGAAAACAGATTTCGTTTTGTGTAGCCTAGGCTAGGCATATATGGATAAAAACAGGAATACAAAGCGACAGATCGAACTCACCAGAGGCGCTTCACCATATATATATATTATATATATATATGTATACATAAACATGTATAATGCATCTTTCATGGATTAATAGCACTTTACTGAAACTGGCTCTTACAATTAAGTGGGTGAATGTGACAGTCTTTCTTAGACTGCTTTGCCGTATGCATTGTCTCTTGCTGATTCTTTTGTATATTATGTCCATACTTCTCTGTCAGGCACATACATTTGGGACATTACAAAATTCAAAGGTGGTCCTGACAGGGTCAAGCTAGCACTTCCTTACTTTATTAAGTAAGCTTTGTAATTTCTTTGTCTCTTTAATGTTGTTACATGTATTCCGTAGTATTACAGCAGGACATTGTCTTCTTAGATGTCAAAGTGTTTTTTTCCACTTTTAATTTCTTCTTCAAAACTCTCACATCACATTGCAGACACTAGATCTTTTGTTATGGACAGGACCTGTATCCTTTGGAACTGGCCTGGAGGGAACAATAATAATTTTTTTGGAGGGTTTGGAACAGTAAACAGCATGGCCACAGCATTCTGCACTAGAATTGTTCAAGATGCAAATTTCCAAAGGCAGTACGTACAGTTCAAATTGCTCAGCGCACAATGCATTCCCATGGTACACGTATAGGTGACTATGCTATCTTAAGAACCAAAGTCAGCCTTCCGATAATTCATAACCCATTTTTTTAAACTTCAGAAATAAATTATAATTTTTTGGTAGGAGTACGAAAAACTTAGATTGTAACACAGTTTTACATTAAGCCTATACAAAAGACCGGTGCTCACAATAAATAATACACTGTGGTGGCCCATATTATCACGTGTGCAGTCAGATTCTAAATATTGCAAAATTCATAGATCTATACATAGAATATAGGTCTACTCATTTAGTTTCATTTCATAAAAGAGAAATATATAAGTGCTTGATTGATTAGATCTAAGAGTTTTTAGTGAGTACATCTACTGGAGATTTTAAAACTAAATTTTTTTGGGGATAGAGTTAAATGACATTCATCCCACATTTAGTTTTCATACAATAAAGTTAAATCTTACCTGGCATATTTGGATTGGTTTAATTTTGATGAGAAACTTGAATAACAAAAATAATAAAATACTAAATATGTTTCACTACTCTATCTAGTCATTTCTGCAGGGGAGGAGTCGAAGCGCCACAGAGTCTACTGATGCATTCTCAGGTCTACAGTGTGAGTGAGCGCGTGTGTGTGTGTGTGTGTGCGTGTGTGTGTGTGTGTGTGTGTGTGTGTGTGTGTGTGTGTGCGTGTGCGTGTGTGTGTGTGTGTGTGTATGTGTGTGTGTGTGTGTGTGTGTGTGTGTGTGTGTGTGTGTGTGTGTGTGTGTTGGAGGGTCCCCCCAAAAAAAAATCAGTATGAAGGCGATGATAATGTAATTTTTAACTTTTTAAAAATGGAACTTATCAGTGAATTTTCAATGCCCACACACTCTCAAACTGATGAATAATTAAAGGGGAAATCAATGCTGGGTGGTCCCCAAAAACTTCTTTCAGATCACTTGAAACACTTTTTTTGTGTGTTTTCTTTTCTTTTTTTTTTTAGGGGGGGGGGGGGGGGGGGGGGGGGGGGGCTGCGACAGCATAGGTCTCATATGAACAGGCGGGGCACATTAAACTTTTTCAGTTTGGTAAGAATTTTTAATTTTGCCCAGGTGGGGGCCACAGCTTAGCCTACTCTTTTGATTTTAAGAACACCAAGGGGTCCTTAACTTGCGCAACTTACGGGACCTCCGAGATTTTTCGCCCTTATCCGAGAAGGCTATATATATAGGTGTTAGATCTTACTTACTTACCATAAGATCAGGTGACTGAAAGACAGCAATCAGATAGAAGGGGCCAATGAGTGGCAGTAGTACAAATGTAGTAGTAGTAAAGGCTGCAGAAAGAGCCAGGAGCCCCAGATGCGCCAGAGAAGGAGTCAAAAGGGGTGTGTGTGTGTGTGGGGGGGGGGATGGGGGGGGAGGCAGAAAGTGAGGAGGAAAAACAGACGACAGAACTTAGAGCTGGGCGGTGAAAAGAGAAAACTTTAGAGAAGAAAAATGTCTGTCCCAGTCATGTTTAAAACCTACTGAATGAGAGGCAAACACTGTAACCCAGGCTATAAACTCTATATAGACCACGATCAGAGCCCCCAGAAAAACGTGTTTTATTCGCTAGCTATAGTAAGGTTTAACAATGTTTCGTCCTCCTGCCCATGCACTGGCATGACGTGACGAACTAGGGCTGATCAACTGCACTGTCGCCTGTGCTGTGAAGAAGTAGAGGAAGGAGTGTAGTGGAGGCAAACATTATACATGTAATAGGTCTATGCTATGATAATAAGGCCCAAGGATAGATCTAGATCTGGTCCTAGTAGACCCACTGCATTAATTAGGCCCTTACTTCTAGACCTAGACTCTAGATCTAGTATACTAATTGACCTGGACACTGATACTAGATCTACAATCTATTATCAAATTTAAATCTAGAGATCTAGATATCTATATCTATATCTAGAATCTAGATATCTATATCTCTAGGATTCTAGGTCTACAGTCTAGGTATTCTAGAGATCTAGATTTAGATTCTAGATCTAAATCTATATCTAGATCTAGATCTAGATCTAGACTCTAGATCTAGTTAGGCCTACACAAGAGAAAAACGATATTATGTAAGGTTAATGAAAAAGTACATGTGTAAATTCTTACATTTCAGGGTCCTTTGGAAAGCTAAATAATGCTAGGTCTGGTATCTATGCGATCTTGAATTGGCACGGACGCAGACTGCCGCAAAACACCACTTACACTTGCAGGTGACTTGCGATTGCCGACAGCCGCCATTAGCTTTGTTTACCGCGCCTCGTTTCACAATCAGCTGGTGACCTGGATACGCGAAAATAGGCCTCGTTTCCGCTCTCTATAATTAAATACTCTCTGGTGGTACACAGAGTGGTCGAATAGCTTTTGGAAAAAATTGCCCAGGAGGAACGAAAAAGAAGAAGATTCTATATTTTGGTATTTTAGCATGCCCAACTCCTTTAACATCCTAACATCCCCATTGAGACCAAAGCCAAGCTCATTAACTCTATCTTCATCCCTATGTTGACCTACCAATGCCAGGCATGGACTTTCGCCAAGAGTCTGGAAGGTAAGATAACCACCTGCGAGACGAGATGTCTAAGGAGAACCGTCAAGAAAACCAGACGGGACATGATCAGAAAAAAAACTGGATCAGAAAAATCATGGAAACAACACCAGCTGTCCTCCGCTACATTCAGATCAGAGGCAAACAAGCAGGTGGTTTTGGGCATCTAACACGTATGGCACCTCACCAGCCTGCCAGAAAGTAAAGTAAAGGTATTTTAGGAAAGGGAGCTAATTTTTTCCCGCTTTGCTGGTGAGTGCACTACAAAATAATGGTAAAAGCAAAGATGCTGCAGTAAACAGAACGGGGGAAAGAATAAGAAACCAACCCCCCCCCCCACAAAAAACAACCACCACCCTCCCCATTCCCCGAAAAAAAAAACACACACACAAAAAAACAACAACCTTGGGATAGCCATAACCTTTGCTGATGAGTAAAAAAACACGAAAAATCTTCTACCAACTCCGAAAAGACAAGTGTACCTCCTCGAATTGACCTCGCAATTTCCCTTGTCTCGATTGTGCTTGGGGCTATCGAATTTCGGCTTTAGCCAGAGCGAAATAAATGCTTCTGCACTGTCTGACCCGATCTACCCTTATCGCTTATTATCCTCCATCTTCATCAATCCATCTCACTTACCCCACCTAAGATATCTTTGTTCTCTCGGGGTTGTTTTTTTT